GAAGTTCGTCGTGAGGGCAAAAAATGCACCCAGACCCATTTTGTTTTAATCATTGTATGTTCGTAAAAAAATAAATAGTCATTTACGTCATCAAATGTTAGATTAATCAATAATGTAGAGACATAAAAAATTTAAGACAGTTTTTTTTTCTACTAGAGTAAGAATAAGAAAACTTATTTAGTACACAGAATGTTTTATACGAGATATAAGATCCCATAGGATTAATTCACGCCATTATTTAACAATAAAAAATATTTAGTTATAAACATTCGTTTATTTTTTAACAATAAACAGAAATCCATTTGCCTTGATCATCCAATTGATTCTATCTTGAATATTTTATTTCTCAGTCTGCAAGTGTTCCATTTATTGCTTTAAGAGAAGGTTTTATTTTATTTCTAAAATCCAAGATGAAGAAAAAATTGAAATCACATATAATTAATTTATAAAAATGCAGAAAAGTGAGTTAAATAAAATTCAATCACTTAACAAATAAATTTATCTGTGTATTTAATTATTTCCTAAACATACATCTTATCTTAATGAAGACTTGGTCAATATTAAACTCAAGTATATTTCATTTGTTCTGAATAATTTTTCTTTCATTCTCATCTATTCTCGTATTTGATGTTCAAGATTATTTATCCAACTCTTTCACTCTCCCTTTTTTAATTTCAAAACAGTCCATTTGTCCACTTTCATTCCACTGTTTACATTCATCTACCTTGTCTGACTATAACGATGTTTACACTACTGAATTATACTAGAAAAATTTTTACATACTTTTAATAAAGTAACATGAATACGAATTTTTTTTTTTATGAATAATCAGTACAAATGAATCCCTGAAATAATAAAGATAAATATTTTACATCAACTGGTGATAAATATTTATCGATTTGTCTACAAAACGGAAAGTGGAAAATAATAAGATCTCTTCATTAAGAATTTACGCTTCATTTAAATTATAATTCAAACCAAAATTAAACTAATGAAGAAAGATTCTCAATTAGTACTTCAAAAATTTCTCTAAAACATTCAGCATGATTCATTGCAAAAATATTCTGGTCTTTCTTAAAATTAAATTTTATAATTCATTCAATGAATCACAACTTTTTATTTATTTTCAACGATTGATGGACCTGTTTTTCTTTTTCTATTTATCTATTTTGATGTTTTATTAGCACTGATTGATATTAAATGCAAAATATGACCAAAGTGTCTGCTATTAATGATGGGCCATCATTGTAAATAGCAATCAATGCTGGTCTAATGATGGAAAATGACACCATGATGACAATTACATGATGATGTGAATGATAACATCATACCAGGAATACCCTATATGGGTTATTTCCTTTAGCAGATTGCTACATAGTTGTGGGACCTAATTATTGTCAAATGGCCAACGTAGAACCAATCAACTGAGGTTATGAGAACTGACAATTTGACAGGAAAAAAGAAGTGATTCCACAGATTAGAAGTATAAGTAAGCATAATCCTGTAAATTCAACTCCTGTCAAATATGTCATTTGTACTTAATATATATCCTATGTTTACAAACATATATCTACTTATTGGTATTACTTACCAGTGTAAAAAGGTTGATGGCAATGAAATTTAGGCAGATAAATGTTGAAGAAAAAAATGATGATCATAGAAGACTGAAAGTGGCCAAGTCAGTGAGCTTTCCGCAACGTTTGCAAAGATTCTTTTATTTTACGAGTCTTTGGTACAGTAGGGACACATATGAGAACCAAGGGAACAATCGACCTTTCCACACTTTGTCTCTCTTACCATCACTTTCATGAATTTGTTTGTTTGCTAAACGATGCTTCCAAATAAAATTGAGAAAAAAAATCACAGCTGATCTATCTGGATCAATAAAAACGATTATTCTTTCATTTCTTATACGTTCACTATGTCCATTCACTCTTTGTCTTCCTTCAGTCAACTGATTGGTTTCATCAAAGCGTTTTTTTTTTAAGGATGAAAGCATTAAAAACAGATAGTCTTTGTTATATAACCTCTGCTGTATATAATGAATTGGATAAATTGTCTATTTTGATTATGCTTCATACTTCTTAGACCCAAAAAAATCTTCACAAAATTGTGGTGAGTCAGAAACATGGTTTGAATAAATAACACAAAAGCACTTTGGAAGAATAGTGTATAAAACCTTTCACTTTTTTCTATAACCTCATATACTTAGAACAATCACACCACATTTATACGTTTTTATATTTCATTTTATTTTATCAAGAAGATAACCTACAATAATTTTTATTAATTTGATCACTTTAATTTTCACTGATTAAATATACCATCTGGTAGAGAGCTATTTGTACAATATTCTAGAGTAATGAATCATAAAACAAAGAATTGAAATATTTTAGTTTAACAGTGACTGTTTTAATAGCAAGCAAACTGAATGTTAAATCACGTCTGTTGCGAGTCTTCCATAACCATTTGGAGTTTAAAGATAACAACACACAATACACATAATTATTAGCTCTAGATTTCAATATTCTAGTCTGCTAGGATAGCTATATTATATATTATTGGTTAAGATCAACCATGCCCTTTTTGCTGTGCTGTGTTTGGTATTTGTGATAGAATATCAGTCCATTGGTTTTCGATGGCATACTATACTGCTGTAAGCTTTACTTTGCACTATCTATACTTCATTAATGTCTGCTTAGAACAGAAACTCTATAATGAACTTTTCTTGGATTAGAATAATACTGAATTCGATAAAATTAATCTTGCTACACTTGAATAAACTATTTTATTCTAATTAAGTATTTTTTGACAAATTATTTATTCAAGCTTCTTCAAATTATTTCTTTTTTAAATTTTCATAACCTATGAAAATCATCTAATGATGACTCATCAATAATTTGTTAGATGCTACTTTCGATATTCAATTCATTTTTTGTTGAAGCATTTGGGGGAAAAAAATCTTGCAGATCAAGCACTATTACTGACTAGGGTATTTTGTTCAATTTTTCATTGCTTATGAAGCCAAGATTATGATAGATGCAGCAAAAAAGCATATTGCTTTTTTTATGGAAAAATAGAAAATTTAACAAAAAAATGAAATAAAAGTTATAATCTAATATCGATGACATAATTTCAAAAACTAATCAAAAACTTTACTCTTCAGTAAAATTTTCTATACAAAAATAAGGTTATAATTAAATTTAACAAAATTACTGAATCTTTTTTTTTATTATATAAAATGCTTGATTTTAATAAACTTGGTATATCTAACAAATATTTTCTATTTCACTTAACATTTCTACTTATTTTACCAAATTATATGATTCTCAGGTGTTAACAATGAAAATGAAAGAATTTAATAAAATGGATGAACATAAAACGATCCCAGATTTTTTATAAATATTTTATTTTATTAAAAAAAAATAAAATAAGATATTCAATTCATTTATTATATTATACATTCATTTCATATTATTCCTTTTTTGATAAAATAATTTTAATCTCCAGAGATAAATAATCTCAGGATCAACTCAAAGTTATTTGATTTTCTTTCTCTATTTTGTAGCATATTTGATCAAGTTTATTGGTAAAAAAATATGCATAACATTTTATGTATAACAATGATACAATATTGCATATTCGCTTTCATGACACGCCTCTTTCATCGTTTCATTCTTCATGTGTATGTAAGATAAGGAGATTATATCATATATATTATTAAATAGAAACGAAAATTTAATGTTGAGAATATATTATTATTTATCATGAATAAAACTATATTTTATTACAACGTACTCATTATGTAGATTCTATGTTTAAATGATTCTTAAATAAAACAAAAGATGTTTACTAATATTTCTATAATGGGTCGGAGTACACTTGGTGATCTGATGACGAATTTCCCATTCATTGAAATCCGTAATTTTATCATTTTTTAGTTTACAATTTTATTTAAATCATACCTATATCATCAGTCTATAATCAACTATTTAAGCTTCGTTCAACAGGTAGAATAAGTGAGCACTTATATAGCCTGAAGCACATAAAAATTCATAAATGTTATACACATCCTTAAATATCTTAAAACGTAAAGAAATAGCAAAATTACGGATCTCAAAAATCGACTTCATTACAGTAACTTCCAAATGGAAAGTTAATAAAAAAAGCTGATAAAGTTGATTCTAACAAATATTATAGACATTGTTAATGAAATAAAAAAATGCTCATCCATAATTTTCCAACAGAAATAATGTTAACAAACTTCTGAATCATATTTATTAATAAAAAATCACTTATTCTATTGATGTCTGAAATATTATAAATGAAGATATGATCCAGTGTAGCTTTCCATGGATAGAACCAATTTTACATTTCATTAAATATTGTCAATTATTTTCGGAATTTAGTTAACATCTGTATGTACATGTGAGTACCCATAATAATTGTATTTATCCAAAGTGAAATTTATTATTCATCAATGATTATATTATAATTCACATGATTTTGGTTCTTTGAACTCTCAACGTGTCAATGATCTCAGACTAAATATAAAACACATTCGATTACTTCTTGATTCTTTTTCTATCTCTCATAATGGAATAAATTCCAATAAAATGGTCTCAATTTCTTCTCGTAATCTGAACATCCGAAACCCAGTCAACTAAAACAAAACGAATTATTTAGACGTTAATGATTACGTTTGCTAAATAATTTAGGTGACTAGGTGAACAAACTTATGTTTGGTAGGCTGTTTGGGTATCTTTTGCAGAAATATACAATGAATTAATTGACTTATGGTATATTTCAGAAAGAGATACCTATATCATATATTAATATATGATTTACTCAACGATGATAATCAATTTGATATCAATTTTTGTAACTTCTTGATCTGAAGTTTTTCAAATGTTAATGGCAGGCAAATATAATCTTATATTGTAATAAAAAAACTGTAAAATTATTATAAAACTTTGTGATACAAGAATTACTGTTTATACTTACAGTGATTTATTTAAATAATAAATTTTGATTGATTTTTTAATGATGAGTTTTAGAGCAATAAAACCACCATATTGTTTACGACTTCTATAATAAACACCCACTCCAGTAACGAGTTTAGAAGAATTCGAAATAACTTCTTGTAAATCGATGAAAGGAACAACATGTTGAGCAAAATCCTTTGACCAACTTGTCGTTCGGAACTTGATGTAATGCTTGTTAGGAGTGCTAAGTTCTTGACTTTTTTTTGTTGGAGATGAAAGAATATATTGATTAAAAACATGCAATACCCTGTAAATGATTCCATTATTGTACCAATTAAGTATATAATTTGATGATTAACTGATATATAATTAATTCTATTGGAGCTTGAAACTTCATTTTTGTTATTGACTTACAAACATAAAGTTCAAAGTCTATATCCATAGACAATGCTAATTACCGGCTTGGTGCTGATATTTTCTCTCGTATCAACCATTTTTCAGGTACTAAATTTCCATGATTATCAACTCTTGTTGCTTTGATTGCTAATATCAATCTTCCTTTTTCAAAACCAAAGTAGGCTGTTCGCTTGTGGTATCTTATCCAAAATAATCCTGATGGAAATCAAATGAATACATTAATATTACATTGCTCAATATGTTCAGTACACTTACAGGTCCTCTTTAAGAACCAGATGAATTTTCTACCTGTTATAGCATAACCTTCAGGAGCCAGTACATCATCTAGTTGTAGAGAACGATGGTTGTAGTTCAACACTCCATAATATCTACATGGTTGTGAATTTTTCCAATGAACTGTTTTAAGATCAATATTGCCATTAACTAGTTTCCCTTGTTGGATTTCTAAATACACTATTCGATCTCTTATCTTGAACCGAACTCCAGTAAGAACACTGAAAATAAATAGAGAATTTTTTTTATTACAATCATTTCTGCTTTGTCGACTTTTTTCTTCCAAGACTGACCCATTCATGACCCAACACTGTGCTTTGTCCAGCGAACCTTGGTAAAATGTTGGACCAAGATGAATCAGTCTTGCTTCCTACTAAGGCCAAAACAATAAATAATAGAACTTGTTTTTTGTTGTTTAAAAATGTTGTATTAATACTTACTATCCTAGAAGTGAATCTGTTTCAACCATATCTTGGCAAAATGATTGAATAGTATTTCTTTGAGACTCATCATCACAGTAACATTTACATATCTCATTCGAATTAGTATTTTTTGTTAACAGTGGTTTTATCGAGTTCGTAAGTTGATCATTCCACTGATGAGTTTTTATAATATTTAATTTCTCATCAATTGATAATCGATAGAGCTGATTTTCAAGACGCTGTAAAAATTATTCATATCATTAATGACAATATGAAAAAAATTGGTCAATAATTATTGAGTGTAATACCATTGTTAAAGCAGCTGAAAAACGTGTTACTGCAGTGCAATTGAAAATATTTCCACTACACTGAAATAGCTGGTATTCCACAGGATCAGAAAAGAGATAGTTATAATAAGTATGATTATAAGATGTGCATTTTTTATTATGATTTCCTTCCCTATTCAAACGTTGCTCGTGGATCAAACATCCTCTTAAAAATGTTAAGCGACCGTAAGTTAACCCTGAAATCAAAGAAAAAAAAAACAACATTGGAATTTTGAAATAATAAAATTTTTAGCTATTCTGTGCATTCTTCAGGTTCTATAATCCTCTTTTTTCCTCTGCATTTTTCATAGATGTTTCAACATTGATATTATTCTGCATAGCTTTATGTCTAGAATCATTTTCCAAGCTTTTCTTGATAATGTTAAAGAAAAATATTTCTATCAATCTAACTTTGAATCAATACCTGGGCATCAGGTAAAATTAACTTAGGTCTTACAATACCTTCCACATGTTGATCTGGATCATTATTTTTTATGTAGATAACCTTCTTCAATTGTCGAAAATGACTATGAACTAGTGAACCAAACGATAAAATACTTATCCATAAGATCAATGAATAAAATTTATTATTTGTCATTGTAACACTTTATCATTTTAATCGAGCCAACTTTAAGTGAATGATAAATTCTTTGACTAGTTTAGTACAGTCTTAATTACATTTCTTATAATTTTTTATATTAAAATGAGTCTTATCATTCATCACAACTTATAGAACTTCTATATTGGCTGACAGACATTTTTTTACATTGAATTAAATAATAGAAGAATGATTTCAATAAGTTTATCAGTTATTTAAATACTAGTGATTATTCGTCATAAGTAATGAATATTAAGAATATGAAGCAAATAATTTGTCTGGCACTCATTGTTTATGACATACTTGTTACAGATTAAGATAAGAAGTATAAAATGAAGATTCTTCACAAATTTTCATTACTTTTATAATCACAAGATATCGTAATGATATATTTTAATGAAATTTATTTTATACTGAGGATATCATACAGATGGTCATGGTCAAATAAATGGGTGAGCAGAACACCTGTTAGTAAAAGTGTACAGATATCAATTGTACTAATATAATAACAATACATATCATTATTTTACAAGTTAACTATAGTTATTAAGTATACTTACGGGTTATCTTGAGGAAGTTTATTTTCTGTGGATAATTTATGAGAATTAAATGGCCTCAGAGTGATCAAGAGCTACGTGATATTCATACTCAGTTTAGATGCATTAATTGACCGTTCATGAATACTTGGCTTTGATCCTCAGCTACTTTAGTATGTAGCTAAAGTAGGTTAACATTGAATTCATGCTCTTTCACATGTATCTTTAACATGCTGGCTTATTTTTCTACCAAAGTAAGTAGAATATATTTAAAAGATAAATTGAAGTTATTTCTAAATGCTGCTAACTTGTTGAGTAATTTTATATCCAGGTAAAAATAGAAATATTTTAACAACTGGACCATGGCAACCAATTTCTGTATTTCGGTAGAGGATGTTCATGAGATATTTCTGGAATATCCGATTGGGAAAAGTCATATTTGTTGGATAAATTATAGAGTCCGAGAGACTTTATCCTCTGGGAGACTTGAACGATTCAAGTGTTGAGATATTAGAACTGAATCAACACTCCCAAGGGATCATGTTTCCCAGACTCCTTCATCAAGATACAGTGTTTATGTTGAGCAATTAAATTTATTGTTAATGGTGGTAACAGCCTTTCTGATCGATGTAGAAAATATTTATATACATTTTTGGGTCATTTATTTGACATTGTAATTGAAAAACATGGGAAAATTTTTATTCAAGGATAATCTTTCCTGGTTACCATGTTGCCTAATACAATCCATACAAAAATTGCTTGGAAGCAAGATGACAAAATTCTTTTTACTAACAAATAAATAGTGTAAAATCTTTAAATTCTTCAAAAGCCAAGTCCAGCAAACATATTTCCATGCTGGTATCGTTAAATTTTCTCAGGATGTAATAGAGGTTGATGAAGAGGCTTTATAGCTTTGACCCACTGCGGTGACAGTAGTAGTTGGTTGTAGTCAACGGTACTCGAAACCAGTAAATGTATAGGTAGCCAAGTACAGTTAGGACCGATAGCAGACTTGCATAAACCTCCCTAGTGTGTTAACCGCCAGATAAACTCATCCCCGTCAGCCCAAAGTTCCTCCGACTACTCTCACCCCTTTGGCTCTGTTACTCCTCACCAGCCGTGTGTTCTCTTGCGGCCTCCTCATCCACGACTGCCACTAGAGAAGTCCTGCTCTGCTCGAAACACGCGACCACTAAAACTTGGAAACTTTTCGCATACATTCTCTACTGTCACTTAGTACCTCACACTGCTGATTCATTTCAATACATTTTTTACTGCTTCTCCTACTACTTTAAAAAATTATTATCATAAATAATGAAATATAAATTACTATTAAAAGAAATAACTGCTTACATATAACATAAAGTTTTTTACTTGAAGATAAATCTTCAATTACTTTAGTTTTATTCCATTTGTTTTATAAATTAATCTTTTTATTAGTTATTTTGTTTTATTACTATTTTATTTCATACTTAATAAATCTGCCAACCAATTGTTTTTATAGCCAAATTACTTGAAAGTACTTTTTAATGCATACTAAATGTTTATTTTACAATTTAAAAAAAAGTCAACAAAACGAAAAATAATAATTAAATGTATTATTATTATTATTATATCTCCAAAACTATGCATTTTGTGTAATTTAGGTTGTAATGTTTTTGAACTATTTTGAACTATTGAATACAATAATCATTAAATAGGAAAAATCAATTTTTGACGGTATAAAAATTGATTGAAGTTAGAATTGTCTTCTAAAATAAGCTTTTTTTAAATAAAAAAAAATTATAAACGTTAAATATTTGTAAGAAAAATAGTTTGGAAGTTTTGGAGAAGCCAGCTAGTTTATTTATTTTCGTTTATATAAAAAAAGTATAATTAATTCTTAAGTCATATCTAGGTCAGTGTGTCAAGTATATCTATTCATTTGAAAATATTGCGAATAAAAATTCTTTGGGGTCTAGATGGTTTCAAAGATTTGTTTTTATTATCGATACCAGTGAAATATCTGTATAGATACTTAAAATAAAGTTATTATTTCGACTACTACAGGATAAATAAATTAGTCCAATTATGTATTTATCAAACAAAGATATTTTATAATCCATTATAAATTATATAATTTAAATAATAAAAATTTTATAAAATATTCCAACCTTCCTTTTCATTAAACTTCATAATTATTAATTTCGAAATTCCTTGTAAAGTATTTAATTGCGTATGATAAATGTATTAATTACAATATAATTGGAAAGGGTTGTATTTTAAATTGTTCATGAATTACTCCTTCCAGTGGATATGAATGTAAATAGTATATTAATACTCTCAACAAAAATACAGATTAATATAGTATTATAACTTCACATAGATTATTATATTTTGCTAATTGTCAACATGAGCTAAATTTTATTGGTTAGTATTTAATATGAATTTGTTGATTAAATACATAAATAAAATAATTTATAGACATTCAGATCAAAGAGTAATGTTAAAAGATAGATCAAAATAAATTTGAGGGTTCCGTGTGATATATTAAGCCAAATGGTCTTAATATTTATTATTAACAACTTCATATAATAAACAAATTTAAATAATAACAGTACAGTATTATATTTATTTATGTTAATCATAATTATTTTTTATTTAACTGACATTTTCATAAAACAAAAGCATCGTATCTTTTGTCATGCATTGAACTGTTGCTATATCTTAATTAACGAGAAATTTGATAATTATAATATTGACGTTTGAATATTGATTTCAATCTATTTGTAAATAATACCTGTGTTCATTCATCTTTTTTAGGAATACATTACTTTTACTCCATTTACTATTCACTAAAAATTGGAAACATGGTTTTTAAACAAATAAATATCCAGGAAAGAAAGTGATAAAAAGAAACCAGCAAATTATAGATTCTCCCTATGAATTAAATTGAAAATGGAAATAAAATAATCGGTAGAACACTTAAAAATTAGTAGATATTATGAATATTCTTTTGGGGAATAGATATTACAGTCCAACTGAACCAAGTTAAGAAGTTTTAACTCTTCTACCTTAAAATGTCTATTTGCGTTGCAAAAATGAATATTATACTTTGAAATAAAAATCGAATTTCATTATAAAAATGACTTTATAGAGCCGTAGAGCAGATTTGCAAGAATTATAAACTTTGATATAACCAGTAATTAAAATTACTTACAACCAGAAACTTTGAACAATTATTGTCTGACAGGTTGTTCTTCATTTGTCTAGAAATAAAATATTCTCCAAAAGGACTATGATTAATAGGAATGACGAATTTTATAAAATTGATTAACTCATATAAGTGATGTGAAATAGTATTTATAATTAATTTCTATAAACCAATAAAAGAGGATGCAACTACAATTGTGAAGCCATGAGCTGTTTTGTAGTTGTTGGAATTTAACAAACCATAAATAAAACCGAAGCATCTTAATGTTCATTAAGGAAGAATTACAGCTATGACCACAGCATCTGTCAAGCTCTTGAGAAAGAAGTAATCTCTTAACATAAAACATGTCGAATGTTCTGCAATGACTATTATTTAGTGGTTCGATAAATGTGACCACTAATGTTACAATGAGCTGTTTTGAGACTCTGTCCTTTGCCTATAAAAGCATTAACTATTTTCAAGAGATAAGTAATGCCAGAACTTACCTTACAGTTAAAATATTATTATTTAAATATTAACTACCTGCACTAATAAAAATGATGATTCATGTAGTATCGGGGACAGGAATTAATATTAAAGAGTAGACTTAGTTTCTAGAATAAGCTTATCTTTTCAAAACAACTGGATTTATTCCCTTTTATGGTTATGGGTGTAAAAACCCTATACATCCCCCCTACATCCTACAAACCCTACTACATCCGAAGTGGATATTGAAAGAGAGTGAAAAATACCGAGTCCCGAAAAATCCCAAACCCTTCAGGTAAAGGGAAGATGTTGAAAAGTAGGGGAAAAGAGAGTTTTCCTCTTTCGCATCGACCAAGTAAGAGTCAGTTGAAGACTCCACCTTGGCAGAGTAACAATATTTAGATT